GTTCCTTTAGTCTGAATGTGTGTTTGGTGGCGTGATCATTATTATTTAGAGTCATTGCGTGCCTATTGATTTGAACACGATCCGTGTATCCATCATTTCCTGGTCTTCTCTAGAGAAGAGGGACCAATGAAAACGTTGTCATGTTGCCGTTGTTCAGCATGGAAACATTCATTAGCTAACAATGACATTATTGTTCTATTAATATAAAGGGAGGTCAGGTACTCTTTAAAACGAGCTGCTAGTTATGGGTACTTTTTACTGAAGTACATTTCAAAGCCTCTTTACTTTGACTTGAGTAAAGAAGTTTAGTCAGTACTTCTACTTTCACCAGAGTATTTTTAAACACGAGTATCTGTACTTCTACTTGAGTAAATGTACTTTTGCCATAACGTGTATTTTCTCCCTGTCTTCAGGTGTTCCCTACCTGCGGAAGTCCAGCAGCGTGCGGCTGGTCTCTGGAACGTTCTGGTTGAGCCAGGTGAGGAAGTGGAACTGAGTCACGGTCCGGGTCTCGTTGGTCTGCATGTTCTTCAGGTAGAAGCTACGAACCAGGAAGTCGTCGCACCAGATGTGTTCGGACACCAGGTTCACCTGCGAGGACACACGGATGGACAATACGCGTGAATGTAAAGAAAATGCAAAAGACATCACTTTGACGGTTGCTTAATTGAGAAGAAAACAGTCAAAGCCTAAATGTAACTCATCAGTGGTGCAGGAATGAGTCCTAGACCGGGAAATGAGTCAGCGTGCGTTTCTGGGTTCCCTCGTTCTAGACTTTTAAAGAATGTTGTTTTTGGAGAACAAACAAATATTTTGATAACAGGAGTCATTCCCAGAGCAGGAAGAGCATTTTGTGAGGTTTTGGGAACATTTACTGCTATTTTCTTTGGCTAATATCAATGTTTTTTTGAACGTGTTAGAGGTTAGATTTAGAAAGGTTGGTGGTTAACACAAGTTTACGAGATGTTCCCGTTTTTTATATTCCAAAACCAAATGGACAATCCCATTGGTTTGTAATCTTTGGTCCTCATTGAAACACCTAATCCTACAAAGTGTTATCTGTTTAATATGTCGTAATAAAAACACATCTTTCCATCAAGAACCTAGATTGATAAATTGCTGTCTTGGGACATCACTTGGTAACACTTTATTTTGATAGTCCATAGTTAACACTCTATAAGTCATCAGTTGACATTTAGTAGCATGTCAACAGTGCATCAGTTGACATGTGTCAGTTGACATTCAACAGCACCGTTCAAACCGACACGTAACTAAGCATTAGTTGATGATCAACAGATAAGCAACTAAAGTCTAAAGTTGCTTATCTGTTGATCATCAACTAATGGTTAATGTATATTCTACTGGCAGTTAGCTGAATGCATGTTACTTGTCTGTTGAAACAGTGTTGTTGAATGTCAACTGATGACTTATAGAGTGTTAACTATGGACTATCAAAATAAAGTGTTACCCATCACTTTAGTAAAAGAGGTTCAGGATTAAAAATCATATATTTTGGGCTCTGGGCTTCAGAAACATTTACGTACATCATTAAGTCATGTTTGTACTGAAAGGATTGTCTCACCTCGTAGATGTGGTACAGGTTGGACCCCTCGTCGGGCCAGTAGTGGTAGCACTGCTTCAGCCCGCTCTCCACCAGAGGAGTCAACATCACAATAACAACACAGCCGTTCTCCCACACCATCTGCAGAGAGAACACACACTTAGGAAATGCCTTAAATGCAACAAGACAGGAGCAACATCTGGAACTGAAGCTCTCTTTCGTTTAAAACCTGGCAGGTATTTAGAGGTTGATACAACCGTCTGAACTCTTGTCCTCTTATTTAGTTCACGCTATAAAAGAACCTTCACACTAAATACACTTCAGAAAATACATAACGTTTCTTGAGGAGGACTCCAGATCTTCTCTTTAAATCTTCAGTGACCTTATGTTCTTTAAAAAGTTTGTTAAGAAGCTTTTTCCCGCGTCCAGGTTCTTGAAATTTGACTGAAGTTTAATTTGGAATAAGATCTAATTTAAAGCTGCTAACAGGAAGCCTGACATGTGTCTGCACTCCCCCACATATTATAGATATCAGTCTAAAATAGTTTAAAGCTTGGCATTAAGATTTGTCTATTTTGGAGGTGGGGTGCAAATGAAATCCAACCAAACACATCGAGACATGTTTACAGCGTTTTAAACTTTGTTGAGAAACTACGATCAGGTCAAGCATTCGGCACGGAGAGTAATTTCTCTCGAGGTCTTCCATCCACAAAGTGAGACTCGGCACACACTCGTATATGTTTTCTCTGGAGATCCATTCGACTCTGATCAGAGGCAACAGTTAATGGAAGTCATAAAACAATGCGGCTCTCCAATCATCGCCTGAGATAATCAAGATGGTTTGGGTCAGCGGAGACTTCAAGACACATTCATTGTGCCTGGTTTTGAATTACTGCTCCTCGACACACACACTGCTTCCCTCATGGATCTGAAGGTGTGACGGTGCATTTTTTTTTTTTGAGGAATGGTGTTAATTCTCCTCGGCTGACAGACTGCTGGGGCGACAAGTTCCCCTCTTTTAATCCTTGCAGTTTGAGGAAAATTCAAATTTAATTTAGACGGTTATTTATCAGCGACGAAAAGTGCACACGGTGCTATTTAGAAAGATTTAAAGTGCTTAAGTGCTTGTTGGGCAAACTGGACATTGTAGAATATGTTCAGCAGAGAAGGAATAAGTATTCAGATGTATTACTAAAGTATTAATACCACAGTGTAGAAATACTGTTACAAGTATTGCTATTTTCTACATAACACACACATTAATACATACACCCCTATTATACCCATGCTACACTGTTCTTACAACCATATAAGACTCATGTTATTCGACCCATGTTAGACCGTAACTACACTCTTATTACACCCATATTGCACGTGGACATCGCCTTTCGAATGACCATTTAAAGGTTAATATGAACCTGCAAAGTAACTAAGGCAGTAGAATAAATGGAGAGGAGTAAAGAGCACAGTATTTGCTTCCAAAAGGGAGTGGACTTGTGGAATAAACCTCTAAATTGTACTTAAGAACAGTACTTGAGTTAATATACTTAGTTAATGTCCGACACGGCCCTTCAGTACTCTGACACAATATGACACACAGAGATTCAAATAAATCAGAGCCTGAGAATTCTCTGTTTGCTGCCAAGATGGTAACAAGCAGGACTGTGAAATGCAGCAAGGACTTGTTTGACGAGGGGACCTTTCCATTGCACACACACACACACACACACACACACACACACACACACACACACACACACACACACACACACACACAATGCTGGCCACAATAACTTA